GTCGCGACGTAGTCTGGTGACGTCACCAGGAAATTGAAAAATATTTCGACATTCCCATACTTATTACAGACCTGCCAAAAACTTGGTCTGTTCGTTTGTATGTGTGCATGTATATTGTATACATATTATATTATAGTACGGTAACCGTTTTAATAACATCGACCCGCCACGCTGCCGAGTCAGCGGATGGTTCACCCCCTTGATGAGCGAACCAAATCTCCGGATTGTGGAGAGACAGGATGCGGAATATATCATGTTCTATATATATATATATCGGTTTATACTATTTAGATCCGTGGTTTTCAACCAATGTACAGTTTGAAAGTTTTTTTTTTCCATAATAATTATAATTAATATTAATCTATACCAAAGTATAATTTTGTTTATCTAATTTCGTGTAAGAGTTTAAATATAATGACCTAAAAAAAAAGGAAAAGTTCTTCGTCGAAGAAAAAGTTGTTGATGGCTAAAACATATTGTGCAGTTAATATTTTGTGAAGAGCACAGTTTTCGGTGTTTTTAAAAAGGTTAAAAAACACTGGTTTAGAGCTTTACATAAAATATTATTATTAAATATTAAATTATTATAATATCTCCAGTTAGATTCTGATTTAGTTTACTTTGGTTCCCGGAGAGGGGTCTGTATGATGACCCACGGTCACTCAATGAGCAGTATGAATGCGTGTTAACTTTGGTAAAGTGGTAAACATGGAATTTTTTTGTTTCGATTAAATATCGTTTTTTACGAGAAAAATACTGGAATCTTACACCGATTGTGCATATTTCGTTCTATAATAATACACCGTATAATTACATTATACGAGTAGTATGGGATAATAACGAACTACGGAATTATGTTGTTATATCGTTGCACGTTACATTACGGATGAAATGTTGTCGTCGTTTTCTCGAATGGGTATGTATTCTATTGCAACGGGGAGATTTATGATGCGATGGTCCGCGACTAGTATGCGGTATATGGTATAGCGCCACGTGATTTACCGGTAGGACATACGAGTTTAAGTTTACCAGTATTATATTATTATAAAATAATAGTGTATAAATTATATATATGTGCGTTCTGTGTGTAATGGTGTATATGTGCTGAGAAATTAATTTCAACGAAACGCATTATTACACATTACGCCGGAGCACATCGCGCATGCATTTATATACACACCAGGAGGGGTGCTGGCGGTGGACATTAATCAGGGCACTTACCTCCAATACACACACACACAATAAACATATAATATACACAGCTAATAAGCTGTGCGTTCGTCTTATTAATCACCTACATTACGTAGTTTACTTAACACGCACTTGACTTATGATGCGATCGATCCGATTTGTCTCCAACAGAATAAAACATACACAGTTCTCGGATTGGCTGGTAATCAGTAATCACAGTATAGCGCGCGATTCTTCGTATTCTTCACACACTCACACAAGCCAAAGTCACGTATCCGTTTAAACTCCCAGATTATTATTATTATTATTTCACACACGGCTGTCGTGAGGTCTATTTCTCGGTCGTTATATATAACCGAGAGTAGTGACGTATATATATATACACACAATAGTATATATATATGTATTATAATAACATAATCAGCGCGGGAAATATTATTTTCCATCGGGGATCATCCACCCACCCCCTTGCCGTCAAACACCAACCGACATTCACCTGACTCGCGAGGCGGAATATATTTTTGCTCTGCAGATTCAGCAATGATGGAGGGGGGGGGGGTAACGCGTGCGTCGCGCGCCCGGCTTATTACAAATGCAAAACTCGCCCATTCATATTCAAAATTTTATAATACGACGGCGGCACTGTCAACCGATTTGTATGCGCCGTCTCTCGCCTTGTAGGAAGTCGCGGCACGGATGCAGGGGTTATGCACGAGAGTAAGAAGAGGGATGTGCGGGGGTAATAATTACTTCATACACAACCGCGCAGAAATCCTCGGCGTGTGTGTATATGCAAGAATATGCTCACGGAGGCGACCAAGAAGCGGGGTGGGGGATGGTTTAGAGCTTTGCCATACTTATTCGGTCTTAACCGCTAATTTATTCACCCGAGACCGCCGGCCGCGTTCGAATAGATTTGATTTCGTTTTATAATAATAATAACTTGCGTGGCTGTCAAGTAAGAGGGAGAACCCCCTCCCCCCTAACCATTCCACTCTCCACTCACACATACGCGGAGACGACCATCTCGGGGCAGACTCTGTCTGTCTGTCTGTCCCAGTCTCTCTCCGTCTCCCCACGACTATTGGGGAAGACGCGCATTTTACTTAAAATACCAGATGTGCAAAATTGAACGCATCCAAAGATATTTGCATCCGTCGCCACTCGCCGTCTCGTATCCCAGACAACTGCGCGAGTTTTATTTCGTTCGTGGCGTGGTCTCGCTGTGCATATTATTCCCACTGGTCCCGTAGTCTCTCCGAGATTTTATGTGCGGTTTTTTCGCGAAAAAAATTGTATAATAATTCGCACAGACAGCTACAGACGCGTCCCGAACGCATCAAAATCCCGAGCGTTCTACATAGTTTCATATTAGTAATATTGCGCAATCGTAACGACGATAGGGATCGCGTTATTGTTTTCGTACGAGGTCGTCATGAAAAAATGTCGTCGATTGATGTTCAGACGGAACGAGTTGAAAATATTCATTGTGTGCTCGACGTTTTGTTTTTGTATTTTGTACACATTAAAAGAACAAAGCCCTCCTACAGAGTTCAAATTAAGTCAAGTGGTTTTTTTTTTGTCTTCCAAATACTTTTGTCAGATTAACCGTTTATGTACCTATTTAATTCCCCATTAGGCTAAGCACCTTTTAGTGACTTCGTGTTGTCTTTGCAAGAGATCCCCTTTTGGTGTAACGTAAACGATCAAAACACTCATAATCGACTGCTGTTTACACAGAGTCACGCGCGCTTCAGCGAGTCAATAGCGTTTTAGCGGAGTGTATTATAGAGCCAGGAAAAAAAATTGAATTGGATTGTTCACTGGTGTTTAAACAAGTTATGTTTTTTTCTTTATGGTATACTGTAATTTAATAAATGTTTTTTTTCGCTTTCCGGATTGTTACCAATGTGATTGGCAGGGAAAAAAACGTCGAAAAGTCAATGGCATTATTTTATGATCATGCATCTGACAAACTGGAATTGGGAAATATAAACTTTGAAAAAATAAATTTAGGTCCTATATTATATTGTATGGTAAGCGAATACGGTTAATATCAAATAATCTGTCAAACAATCAACCGGGGTATGGGTAAAAATTAAATCCACTTTTATAAATTTTGTTGTGATAAAAAAAAAAAAAAACATAAAACATGAATTGATGTGCATTAACTGAAGAATATGGAATTTTTTTATCATATACGTATTCTGTACATGTTATGGAGGGAGATTGGTGGACATAATTTGTGTCAGCGTATATGAATAATATGTTTCAATAACATAAAGTAAAGGGCTAACTGTTTATTTAATTCACAAGGTTTATTTTACTGCACAGAAAATTGGGTCCCAGTACGGTTAAATAAGAATTTTATTGGTTTGAGAACTTCCGCTATTGAAGAGCGACTGACTGTATCTTCCAAGACAAAATTATCTCACCTATATAAAGCTATGGCATTTGGAATTAATTCATAGCTATGATTTTAATAATCCGTTTATTAAATATATCAACTGGGGTACCGAAAGACACATTTTATTATTTAATTAAAATCTATTTGAACCAATTCTTTTGAAAATGTATGTTTACTCAAACTTTTATATATATATTTTTTTAAATCCATATATTAAAATGCGCATTTATATAAAACAATTTTTTTTTAAAGGATTTAGTACAATTATTTTCAAGATTACTTATATCGATGTAAATACCTATTGAAACGTTAATTTTAAATTCATTATATTAAGAAAGGGCAGCCTTTTTTTAACTAGGTCGTGCCAATATTATGTGTACAGTCAGAATATATACAAGTATCTTCATCGGGATTTCTTTCTCTTTTCTATTTTCTTTGATGATCGATATACTCTCTCTGGCTGGGAATTTAATTAATATATATACTTTCCGGCGGGGAGCGAGCGTCGCCGTAGCATCACATGCACGTCCAGGGCCGAGACAGGCACCGGAAGAAGTGGAAACTTTGCGTATTGGCGTTCCAGATAAATTAAAATACTTGGCCGATTCTGCCCGGTTTGTGTTTGCTCACAGGACCGTCGGTATATTAATGCGTTTCGGATGACAGTCGAACGGGCGACACAAAGAAGTCGAAGACGGGAGCGATATAGACGAACGGCGGACGAGTAGTTGGAGAGGTATCTGTATACACTTGAGCGAAATGTCTTTTTGATAAATTAGAAAGTCGACCGTCGAGTAAATAACCCTTGCCTCGTGCATATTTCATTAAAACTTTTGCTGTGGCAGTGTTTGTTTTTATATGCCGGTGAGTTGACGATGGCGACGGGAGCGTGTATATGTGTGTTTGCCAAGGCTCCCTCGCTTTAACTTTGAAATTACTAGTTTTGGGGTTTTGTTTTTTTTCTTTTTCTGCAGTAAATATGATGTATATGGCACGATATAGGTTAAATATATTATAACAAGGAAAACACTAACGTCAATTTTAAATATAATATTTATACCTATTTTAGGTCTAGGTATGGCAGTTTAGTTTAGAATATAGGTATGGTATAATAATTAATAATACAGTCCACTTTAAATAAAGTATGTAGTTATGAATTTATTTATTTTTAATATTGATATTGTTTGAAAATATAATTATATAATATTGTCATAAATTGATTAGAGTGACCTAAAATAAAATATTGTGATTATATTTTTAGACCTATTATAATTAACCCATATGAAAGAAGTACTGATATAAAACTATATTTACGATTGATATGTTTGGGCTATGGGCATATAGCAGTATTCTGATAACATTATTTTTTATAATGAATAATAAAGCGTAATTGGGTACTTACTTTGCTCATTGCTTGTTTGTATCTCACCCGCCGGACTGACAGGTCTGAAACATAAAGAAAATACACCATAAGTTAGAATTGGGCGTGAAAATAACAGTTAAAAAAAAATTATGTACATATATAATATTATCCATAAATGATATGATTTGCGTATCATAACATGACCGCAGCAATAGGTGACCCCTTGTAAATGTCATATAGGGGCGATAAAAAAAGATTTCGAGCACATAACGATGCACACAAGGACCTCTTTAATAGACTACCTGTTGAACGATATATAACGTGTTGGGTAAAGTATTAAAAGGCCGTATATATGTGTGTGTGACTTGGCCTATTAAATACATACATGACCGCATAAACCACAGCTCTTTATTTTTTTCATTTTTTTATCATTGTGTTTGCCGGTGTATCATTTAACAAAAGACGTCCCCTTATACACAATGTATAGTTTACTTTTTTTTCACTCCCTGAGACTTTTGTGATCTCTTTCGCAGAGGCTTAAGTCTTTCGCGCCCCCTCTTGTGAAACACCGGAGAAAGAAAAATAAAATACCTCGGCAGAGGTGTCCGGGAAGTGTGTGTATACGAGAGAAAAACAGCACGCGAGGGATTTTATGCGTTTTCTCGTATCACCTCCTCCCCACAGTGATTTCCCGCGCGCGCGGTGGTCTATGCTAAGCTTTTTAGGGGAAACGGTTTTAGGAATGCGTCTCTAGTCTATATTCCCTGCCCGATAAGCAGTTTTTGACTGTTCGGGAGGAGCAGGAGAAACGTCAAATATGAAACACCGTTTTACTTCTACGCGTATATATATTATATTATACAGATAAAACCGTTCTACACAATATATACAAGCATGGCACTAGAGCGTATTATTACACGTATATGCATTTGAGCGTGTATATATATATATATATATATATATATATATATATATATATATGTATTTATGACGCGCACAACTTTTTTTCCGTCGCGTTCAACGTAGGTTACGACAATATTATATATTATATACCTACGTATATTTTGATATAGACGAACTGAAAGGCTCCGGGGGACAACGACGAGAACCTTTGAAAAAAACGTAAACTTTTTCATATAATATACATTTAGTCGGGTGGGCGCGACGATGCGATCGGCCGGGAGTGATCTTGATTGCGTTTATGCGCTGCACAGAAGCAGACTCATTGTAAACGGTAGTGCGATGTGTTGTGTGTTAGTGGATGTGGGGTGGGGGCGGCGTATGGAGGTGGTAAGGGCGAAGGTGGAATGGGGGTACCATGTTATTGTCAAGATATATGAGGGTCCGACGGAGCAGGGGTGTGAGGGGTGCAAGGAGAGGACGGCTGCAGCAGCAAGATGGACGGAGTTTGAACGGATAGAGGGGAACTGCTGCACGACGCGAGGCGAAACGGCCGTTTGATCAATATGCGACCCTTTAATGTCTTCATTACGACTTGCAGGGCGGCGTGTATTTATGCATATAATCTGACTATCGGCCGTAACAAAGCTGCCCCCTTCCACTCCACCCTCACATCACCAACGACGGATAGACGGTCGAGTGGACAGGACTGCTAGGGAGCTCGCAAAAACGGACTCGGTGGATGTTCTTTAAAAGAACGCGCGAGTAGTCGACGATGTTGTCTTCGTCGTCGTCATCGTAGTCGTCGTTGCCGTCGTAGTAGTAGTGGTTGTGTGCATTTACCGGGCCGGAACCACTGGACCGGAACCGCGCTGATATACCACGGTCCCGCAGCGCCAGAAAACGGTTTTATACGCTCCAAGCACTATACATACTTGGCAAACAAGAACAATTATATCGCGCAGTTCTCCTGCAGTCCCGCCGCACGATACGGGCGGATTGGGTCTCTTTTGGAGATTTTAGGACGGGGGAAAAACCTGAACGAATTTAAGGTTATGCGATTTTTTTGTTTTACCTACCCAACAAACTTGGCCGTCTCCCCGAGTGTGACTGAGAGAGATAGAGAAAGAACGAGATAGAGAGAGACAGTGGGATAAACTTGGGAGCCGACCGCGTGCTTAATATGCTGTACAGTTTTAGGCAAAGTTATTGAAACTGTGCATGTATATAGTACTGTTTCCCGAAATTTATTATACAGGTATATGTTAAATAATATATTCCCGAAGTAACTTATATTAATATTAATCCGCGCATTAAAATAACCGCGTGTTGCCAAATTAATTTTACTCCTAAAAGTATCGGTGACTATATAATCATTTATTACCATCTGGTTGTACTTATACGCGCAATGGATTGTCACAACGAGAATTTCATTATATTCAAATTTCAAGTAAACCTATATGTGTTATGTTTTGTATTACATTATTCAGTGGGTGTAGGGCCATGTGAGTATAAGAAAAAAATGCCTCCTTGTCTGAAGCCAAGCTCTTGAAGAACAAGTGCCTTTACACTTCAATGATAATAATAGTAATTTATTCTTATAGTGGCGGTATTATACACTTATACAAGTGACGGTACTATATCGACAATTATTATTCGGTAAGATTATGTAATATTATACAGTCGCTTAGCATTTTGCGTGTGGCTTAAAATTTGTTTACGACACCGGTAATACTCCATTGTTTTAATCCACCGACCTTTTTTTCCGCCCTCATTATTGTTATTTGCACATAAAAACCGTTTGTAAACACGTCCGGGGGGCTCGGATGACAATACTGAAGAGCCACTGGTGCACTCAACAGGGTGTTTTTAATTCCTGAATTAAGTGTTGGTTTTTTTTTCTCTCGCCTTGATTTTTTAGGACCTTTTTTTTAAACAAAAAAAAGTGTGATAACGAAGGGATTGTTCTAACGACGCCGGCGGTGCCGTGGGGCCAAGTACCGCGTGCCCGTTTTCACCAGTAAATGTCTGTTTTTTCGTCGACGATGGCCTTTTCAAGTATCACCCTTTTTTATTTCCGGGTGTTTTTATTCGCATTCTTACTTGGAGATAACAACCCTTTTCTCAGTGCTAAAATCGTAGCCTATGCACTTAGAGACGATCTTTCACAACCCTACGCATACAGTCCGACTGGCCGATTACATTACTCGAGGGCATTCAACAAAAATAAATTCTTTAAAACGTTACTTTCATTAATATAATATTAAGATTTAAAAATAAAACATTTACATTTAAAATCAAATCTACTGTAATACAGTATTAGAGAATTTCTACTTCTAGGTTATTATTTCACTCTTAATTATTTTAAATTAATATTTTAATGTTAATTTAAGTTACTGATTTTAGAAAAAACTATTTTTGTATTATGTATTTAATACATTTCATTAAATTTATCGAAGATTAATATTATTGATGATCTCAAAACACATACATTTAGTGTATTAATCGTCGTTTCATATTATTATCAATTATCTATTATTATATTACTTGTTTGACCGAAATTCGTCGTTTTTAGAACACGAATCAAATATCGAAAAAAGTTATACTATACGTATACACACATTATTAAATTATAATTTAATCACTTTAATACCTATTACAATACACAAACATTTGATTAAAATCGTTCATATCAAAATATTAAGCGATTTTCATGATTGAATATTTTTATGAAATTTCGTACGATTTCGGACGCTTAGATGTTATTGTAAAAGCATTTATAGAAAAACCATAGCACTAAATACAGCGGAATCGGGGACGCCATCGTTTGGCGGATTTGTGTACCGTTTTGTCTCTATATCGTTGTTGTCGATCTTATAATATAATATGGACATAGTCATTATTAGCCTGCTGCAGTCTCTCTGACTTCCGGGCTCGTCGTAAAGTCGGTGCTCCCCTCTTCCAGAACGGCTTATCCTAATCGACAGACCGTGGTATAGTCGATCGCCGCCACGTCGGGGTGGTTGGGCGGGATATGGTGAAAGGGGGGATGGGTCTGGAGCTCGTCTTTACGACAGTTATTATTAGGTTTAGTCTCCCACCGCAGCCGCATCTCGTCTTATATATACACATATACATATTACACCGGCATGAAAACATCTATATATATATATATATATATATACATTCTTCTGATATCGAACGCCGGGATTATCGAAGCCGACACCAGCCGTCCAGGGCGAGGGGAGGGCCCCCGTTTTCTCAGTATAATAATAATAATAATAACAACAACAATAATAATCGCCGCGTTCGGACGTGGAACGAAATAAAAACGGTCCGTGGCGGGATATCGTCGTTTAATCAAATTTCGACTAACACAGCGAATTTTATCATTTCTCTCCGAGCCGGCAACTGCATACACACACACACACACACACACACACACACACACACATACATATAAGTAGTCGAACGGTGGTCGTGGAAAAACTATACGCGTATATATATATATGCCGAGTCAATAGTGTAAAACCCTCGGCGTCTCCTCGGCACGTTCCCGACCCGGCCAGTCCCGTGATTACCGCGGGGCGGATGTGGTGCGTGGAGGGTGCAACGTCTTAACGTTAGTTCAATATTTGCTCTGCGAGCCCGGGGTCTAATCCAGAACCGAGGGATCACACAGCGGCGGCGGCAGCGACGTGCGTGCGTGTTTGATGAGAAATGCCGAGGGAGCCGCGAACGAGAGCCCCCGCCGCTACTATTTTACGACGGTAATTAAAAGTCAGCAAAGGTTCGCGAAAGTTCAGCTGTACAGTGAGTGCTGCGATGTATACGCGTGTATGTGCATGTGTATGTGTGTGTGTGTGTGTGTGTTTACGCGTACACAGTTTTCGTTTTCTTTTTTCTAGTTTTTTCCCCGTTTTTCATTCGCAGAGCATATGTATATGTATACTAAACACGCCGTGTATCCGTACACACGAAAGCGCTGCAGCTTGTTATTCCGACTCGCGGTAGTTGATTACATAACATCATTACGCAACGTGAAACTCGGGCCCGACGAGTGTTTATTATACACATACATACATAAATGTGTGTATATAATATGGGTGGAACCATTTAACATGTAATGCACTGTTTATTATTAAAAAAAACCACCTTTTTTGAAAATATTTATTTTACATAG